TAGCACTTCAGTTTTCACTATGTGTCCAGAAATCTGTAGTTCTTCTGAATCTATAAGGAGTTGTGTCTGAAGGGGTAATTATTTCAGCATATAATTGAAATGCCTGAGATGCTTTCAAATGAAATAAAACAGTAAGCAAGAAGGGTTACCCAGCTCTGCTTTTGAACTCACAGCAGACACTGGTGCATGCATATCTTTCTGTATCCGTGTCCAATATATCTGTAAAGCATGCAAGTTTAAGGTGCTAACTGAGATGGTTTGCAGGCACAAATTTAGCAAGTACAGGTTTCCAGAAGACCTGGGTTTAAAAAACCCTGGGCTGATGCATAGAAGAGTACAATAATCACAAGTGTTTCTATTAGTCACCCAACAGTAACAGCTGTATATGGCAATGCACAACAAGGACTGGAAATGACTGGCAGGTAATGAGGTTAATTTGAATGAATGAGACTACTGTGGCAATGGCTTGATAAGTCAGTCCCAACTAAATGTTCTGGTTCAATTTTACAGGGATCACTCATTTTACTGCAGAGTGGTAGGTGATGCAAATCACCATGTGTTGTTATTTGTTTTCTAAATTAAATTATAAAACTGAGCAGTTTAATTGCACATATCAAACTGCTGGTGTTAAGGGTTGTATCACAGAAAAGGCTGACAGATTTATAATTAATGACAGTGAAGCACAACAACAGGATCAACAGAAGTGAATTAACAGATGTTGATTCCTATTTGAAAGAGAAAATTACAGTATAATTTAGGGTACTTCAAAATGGCATTTAAAACACAGAGAATTATTTGGTCGTGACTGTACTGAAGCTATTTCTTTTGAGAGAGATAAAGGAAAAATCTTCGTGGTTGATGTCTATTTTAATGAGGCTTGCATCATTTTTTTGTTCAAGCTCTTAAGCTCCTGTGTATCTTTTCAGTTCAGAGACAGCTCAGTCATCAAGTGCTGCATAACAGTTTTCTACAAACTAGCTTTGATAATGAGAATTTTTCATTAATCCAGAAGGTGCTCCTATTCTGGTATACTGCCATCTGGCAAGCCCTCTCCTCAAATTAATGAAATCAAGTGGCATGTCAGCTGCAACGTCATGCATCTGCTAACTATATTCTACACATTCTGCTGCCACTATACAACAGATACCCTCCAGCTAATTTCCAGATTATACAGCTCATTCCGTTCCACAAAACTGGATAAAAAGGGTCAGGAAATTGAGGTAGTAAAACAAATACTCTGTTTATCAGACTGTCAAAATTAGCAGAGAATATAAAGATATGCTTGAAAGTGCATGGACTCTTTATGCAAAGCATTATGTCTGCAGCTTCAAAAATCTATGTACAATCACCTGATATTTGTGCAGACACAATCTGCTGTAGATGGTGATTTCTGCTGTTGAGAGAAAGTTTGGATATGTGCTTACTTGTCTATATGAATAGTTTCATAAACTGTATGTAGTCCTCACAGAAAAAGTTTTCTTAGTTGGATTTACAAAATTTCCTGGGATGTGATCTGAAACATACATTTTTTTTAATCAATTGCAGCATATTAGAAAAGCAGACGTTCTTTTTGTGCACAATGTCACTCTGACTTTGAAAATCACCAAATAAAAATCACCAAATGAAAGAGAATAGTTTTGCCATCTGGAAATGAGACTTCCCATCAAAATCTACTTTACATTGATTAAGGTATTCACCATTATATTTCAGCACCTGTTACAGTTCTGTCCATGAAAGAAAAAAATCCAATAGCATTTTCACAAGACATTTTAAAGGATTTATAATAGAAAATTAGACCATTAGTCTAACTAATCCAGTATCCTGCCCCCAGCAATGGCCAGGGCTTCAGAATATAGCTTCTAATTTGTACCTGCTCAGACAGTGGGTGTTATTTCTCAGCTTCATGTTGATTTGTCACAGGCCTTTTAGAACAATCTTGTCCTTTTATGCTCAGATGCCAAAGTTTTGTCTATTATTTCAGAAGTTAATAGTCGTCAATTATTTATTCCCTTTCCATGTCAATCCAAAGAAGCTGCTCATTGTTATGCAACAAATGCAACAAGAAGTAGTATCTTGTTGTCTTATTTTATCAAATATATGTTAATATGCAAATGGAATGATAACTCTCTGCATTAAATCCACTAAAGGCAAGGAAAATGTTTGCCAAAGTGTTGACTGAAGATTACAGAAGGTGACTGTACATTAGGACATAACATGCCTTACCTAATTGCAGAGTAATGGAACTACCAGCCTCAAGTAGGATAGAAAGTTAGACAGGCCTGAGAGAGAAAAAGAAATGTGGCAAATATGGCAAAAAGAGAGAAGCCTTCTGTAAAGGCAGGGGAGAAAATTCTGTGAGAGTTTCCTCGCTTCAGAATAAAAAACAAACTAGCATAATCATTCAGTTTATTACAATAAAATTTCTGTCACATCTTTCATTTTGGAAGAATTCAATGCATTTTGCAACAATCTAAAGAGGATATGCAGTGCTATTGGTTGGATAAAGTTCTAGTGGTAGAATTTTTAATTTCTTGCATTATAAAGATGGTAAAGAAAGGGATCTATTATACAGGTCATTCTTCTGGAAATGCCAAGAAAAAAATGCACCAAGTCCAGTAGTCTTCAACTTGGTACATGACATGTAATAAAAAAACTGTTTGATGAACTACTCCAGTGGTATGCTACCCTCATAAACAAAGGTGTCAGCTGAGCCCTCACGTGGTTTGAGTTTGGGTTTATTTTGGGTTTTCGGTTTTTTTTTTCCTTTAGTAAGTAATTATATATACACACAGACATATATATATTCAGTATATAAGTAGGAACACTTCAGTGCTATTTAGCAACAGTTAAATATAGACTCATTTGCTTTTTACTGTTCCTGCCATTATTCTCAAACCACAAGCAAAAGCAAGCACATTTCATAATCCAGAATTAGCATGTCCTCAGACAGGTGGTCTTGCTACCTGCAAATAACCTTTAAATAATTAATCAAGATAAAATGAAACAGCCTGGAGCAAGCTCCAGATAAGGTCCTCAGCTGCATCACAACCTAATGAGAAAAATATACTGAAAGCTGTCTTAGCCTAATAATAGTGGCATCAGTGTCTGACTGTCCTCAAGCTTCAGGAGGCCTATATCGACCTGCATAATGAATACGTGTTCCTTGCTGCATTCCAGTCTGCACCCTCATTGGCAAGGATTAAGGGATACTTAGATCTTGAGAGACCTTTCCTATTACAATGTTAAGCAAAATCTTATTACATACAGATTACTACTTAGACCATCAATATGAAACAGTTGGTTCTGAAGAAGACACTGACAGCAGCCAACAACAGACTTGCTTCTTTCATCTTCACAACTAGTGAAGACTTGTACTTGGTTTTGGATAAAATGATCCTGAGATTTCAGAAGGGACAGCTGAGAAAATGTCTCTGTTTCCTAAAGAACAAAGACGGAGATGCTTGTGCTTGAGTCTGTATGTTTTATATTTTCTCCCAAAGAAAAAAGAATTCAGCCCTTCATTATAGGCCACTTAGAGTATCAAAGACAGCCAGTACTCTAAAACAACTTGCCACTTAACACCTTACAAAAATCACAGAGGCATGCCACAATATCTGCACTATTTCCTGTAAAAAAGTAGTAGTGTGTCATTATGCCTGATTGATTACAGCCTACCCTGTGGCACCAGCACTCTGCCCTTCTTTGTTGCCTACCTCTTACAAAGCAGTATGACTCTGAAGAGTGGATGTAACCCAACACAAATAGGAAAGTTATGCAGGAGAGCCACACTGTGTGATGCCAAAGAAGATGCTGCATCAGTCACTGGAAATGGCGGAGAAAGGGTCTGGAGTCTTTCTACCTGTAATGCGGAACCAGGGTAGAGGACACTTGAGGGCTCTCTGGTGGATAGATGAGGAGTGTGCAGGATTGCTGTGCTTGAGATACCAGTGAGGGAATGCAGTCTTTCCTGTGTTACATACAGTGTATTGCACACAGCACCAAGTAATGCTAACTCCTCCTTAGGTTGTATTTACTTCACTCAGCTATGGGCAAAGAGAGAATAGTCAGAGGAAAGCATTTTTCTTTCTGAGAGCTTTTGAAACACACAAATGCAAAGTATGCATTTAATATAATGTAAATCCTTTTGGATTCCTTTGGTCTTGTGTAGGTTGTATTACCAAGTTTCTCCACTGCATGCTTTCAAGCTCTGTATTACAACCAGTACTGCTGTTAGATGGATAATGGCTACTTCGAAGTTTCCAATTTAGATCTTAAAAAAAAAAAGAAAAAAAGAGTTAAGACACCAAAACTGAAGTATACTCAGCTTCTATCCTTCACCTTCACAGTGATACTCTGTATGGAGGAACATCACTCTCCCCTTACACTGTTTCTCATGAAGGTAAACAGATACTTGAACAGGATGGATTATGTTTTTCAAGGTGAAGTAGATGTACAGCTGGCTACGCTGCAGAGTTCTCTGATGGAAAGGATAAACAAAGGATTTACTCCCACTTTTCACTGATGGGAGTTTGAAGTGGAGCCTTACCCCCATTTTTGCACACTTCAAATAAGCTAGATGGGAAGGACTGCAGCCTGTTTTGTGGCCAGCAATTTTCTTGTGGCACGTCCCTTTCTCTAGCCCTGTCAGTTCATATAAATCATAATTTGTATTGCTACCTACTGTGCAGATTACATACTTTTAGACTCTTGTATTAGTGTTCTTCAGTGCCGGCCTAAAGTATCCCACTGCTCCTGTTGCAAAGCTCTTAGACAGAAAGGTGCCAAACGATGTGGCGTTCACTTAATGAGATTGCAGTTCTTGACTTGAATAAAACAGTGTGGAGTCTTAAGAAGGAAAAGGTCTTCTATTATTCCAGAGCTGTATCTCTTTCATAACAGACATGTGTGTATACATCTGTATGTGTGCACACAGACATTAATTACACTACAGTTCGTAATAGTTCCGTGCCACTAATCTGCTTGCCTGTTCTTTTCTGTAGCCCAGATGATTTACTGAATGCACTGAATGAGGGTATCAGCCGTGCTGATGTGATCATTACATCAGGAGGTGTATCTATGGGGGAAAAGGTATGCTAAATTTAAGTATGACTTGCTACAATATATATAAGAATTTCAAGCCAGAGTCTGTCGTCAGCGCTTCTACCTTTGTATTAATGTTTCTTAAAAAGGGATCTTACTTTTTTTGGAACACTTAAATGTGAATTAAGAAAATAGTTTTCAATGCTATCCTCATTCCCTTTGTTCTTATTATTGCACTATAGCAGACACAGTACAATAGGGAAGATTTTAGTTTTTGATGTGAGTGATTTGCAAATGTGTTTTTATTTAAGGAATTGTTTATGTAGTTATGAGGAGGAAGGTGGTTGGTTAATAGCACATGAAGGCAACAGACTTCTTTTTATTCTTAGAGCAGGTAGAATGTAGATAGAATAAAGCTACTTTGAAAGTACTTCGAAAAGCAACCTGCGTATATAAATAGCTCTGTCTTACTCAGCAGATCTGTTTCCTGAATATGCCAAAGCTATATCTGTTAAAAAAAAAGTTTTATCACATTTTGCGCCTGATAGTCCTACAGAGGCAATACATATGAGACACAGTGAGCTGATATATTTGCCTTTTGAATCATTAACAGAATTGTTGATTGAGTTCCTGTTGGTAATCCCTGTGCCAAAACCATCAAAGAAAATAGGGATACACAGATGCTGGTGGGGCGTAGATGAACCTGCAGGACATTTATTAATCATGACTTATGCGAAGGAAAACTCAGATTACTTTTTGATCCCAGGCTGAATCTGTGAGTTTGGCAGGTAAAAGAAACATCTCTCCTTTTATAACTAACAGATACTAAAGACAGTCATTAGGAGATGACAAACCTGAGTGCTGTTTTTGTCACTTGTCTGAGTAGAAATCATATTGTTGGATACATCATGAAAACTGATAACTAGTTAAGCCAGGTCCCATTACTTTCAATCTCATTATTGTCCTCAGTATTCCAGTATAGGAAAATAATAAAGGACAAGTGCTGATCTTTAAATTGGGAACGTGGCGCCATAGTGCAGACGCAGGAACACTAGGAAGTGACTGGACTGCTGAATGGTCTTACAGGCATTTATGCATTCTGGATAATTTCCTCCCAGTCTGAATTTGAGGCAACAGCACAAAGTCAATAGGCTCTATATTCCGGTGATATTGAGCCCTCTGATACTGAGCTTTCAATAGTTTTAATGAAATAACTCTGGACATCCAGAAATTAAATAGAAAGTTAAAACAGGGTTAATGTAATCAATAATTGAGAATTCATACCTGTCTGAAAAAAGTTGCTGCTTTCCAACTATTTGGAGACACACACAGACACACGCAGACACACAGGTACACACACAGGCACACACACGCATGCAATGGGAAAACTGCAAGGAAGCTTCAGATTTACTGCTTCCAAAGTCTCTCTTCACAGATGACTGTTATGACCTGTGTCTTTAATCTCACTAAACATAACAGACCGAATACTACATCTTTGAGCACAGCAATTTTCAATAAAGACTAAACAAGTAATTCAGTTTAATAACTGGATCGATTGTGTTTATGCAAAATCATTTAACTTGAACTAATGCACAAGCCACCCACAGTTTTTCCTTTCTAAGGACTGTTAAACCCAACCACTGTGAATTAGACCATGTCCCCAAGAAATTACAGTAATTACAGTATCCTGGAAAACTATGATTTCTACAGTACAGTATGGATTTCAAAAGTACTAGGAGCTCTTTACTGCTAGATAGCTTCCATGTCAAAAGTTGAATAAGTTGATGATTTTAAGTCTTAACTGTGAACCATAAAGGCTTTTTTCCATCTTTGACATAAAAAATGTTTTCCTAGTAAGTATTTGTGGGGTCCTCTAAGATTCTGATGCTGCAGCTTTCTTTTAAGAAAATATATTACTATGTCCTTGTGGAGTCAAGTTTGGCACCTAAAATGAGTCTGTTCTTCACCTCTTCTTTTTGAAAATGTTTTCTTTCAAATACTGGAAATGCGGAAATCCTCCCCACCCCTACCGCCCCAGACTGTAGCACTTTCAGGATATGAAAAGTCTTTCATCTTCACTTGATATTAATTGATTGCTTTGAATGCTTAGATGATGTAAGCCACTTTGATGTTACTTAATCGATTTTCTTTTTTGAATTTAAACAGGACTATCTTAAACAGGTGCTGGATATTGATCTTCATGCACAGATTCACTTTGGCAGAGTTTTTATGAAACCAGGGTAAGAAATCTTTATAATTAGGCAGCACAGATGGAGGCTATATTTGGCCAAATATCCTGTATAAATGCTTCAGTAGATATGAATTTTCCAAATACACTATAAAGTACGTGGTAAATATATATGGGAAAATAAGCAAAATCAGTCCTATTCAGATTAGTCAACATCTTTATGGGTGAAATTAACTGGAACAGAGAGATTACTTTTTATTAGTAAAAGATATTTCTCTGATAACTGTTGCAAATCAGATTTGGGGATTGGGGAAAAACCAGCATGGTATAAACATGGCCACAGCCTTCACTGTGATCACAGAGCTCAGATATTGACATTGTTATGAAGTAACTGGGAAATGCAAGGACATTTAACTGCTGGTTTGCTTAATGAGTGTCTCATTTCACTTCAAAATTTGCGTAAATCGTATTCCTAAGTCATATTCCTATAAACAAGCAATTTCTTGAGAGAGGTGGAATGACAACTAATTTACAAAGTTTTATCTAATCGGCATATTGAACAGAGTAATTTTAAAGTAAATACAATCTTTTATGCATTTGGTTTGCCTCAGAAAACTGTTTCAGCATTGCTTTCCTTTGCTGTAGCACTGCTAATTAATGAGTCTGGAAGTGTGCTTTGTGGGAAAATGAAAACTACCTGTGTTGAAAATAGAGAGTTCCCTTTCACAGTGCAGTTACAGAAAGACGTCTGCCGCTCTGCCTCGCTAACCACAGAGCACAGTTTGTTTGCAGGCTGGGTTGGCACGGTCCAGTAACACAAGGCCAAGTGCCACTTTGAGGAATGATTCCCTCTGGCCCATAACTGTTTCCAGGGAGCAGAGCAGAAAGTGAGTGTTTGCTGTGAAAACAGACAAAGACTTTCACTGTCTCTGCATACAAACCAGTAAAGAACCGCATGTGGGTTTGGTGCTTGTGCTGCTGCTGCTACCACCTCCCTTCCATAAAAGGAACAAGTGAGCCAAAAGCATGTTTCTTTGCAGTCTGGATGTACCCCAGGCATGGGAATAGCTCACTGTTTCTGTCACACTGCTACAACTAATGTGGGGAAGTCCTAAAAGTGTGATCTGTACTCCAGCCTCTTGCTGACAAGAATGGATAACTGCTTTAGAGAATTCAGAATATTAAATTCTGTTTCTGACTTATCTGAAAGTGAAGGCAACTCTTTCTTCTGGTGATCCCTCTGTAGAATTGTACTAGACAGAAAAGCTTTAAGAAATCCTTTTTTCCCCAAACATCCATTTTCATTTTAGGCCATAAGAAAGATATTTCTTACTGCTACTAAAGCATTTGGTAATCTAATCTTACTGAGAATGTAAACACTCTCATTTTCATTGGCAAATACTGTGTCTTAGTTTTTATTAAGTCTGTCTTAAAAGGCCTTGGATATGAATTGTGATTACTATATTGGGAAAAATTCCCTTGATTAAGTTCCAAGAACGATGCCAGAATTTGCTTTGTATGCCTGTATTTTGATGTGCTACATGACTACAGAGTGATCCCTGGGATTTACCATTCCTCAACTTGATCTTAAAGCTGACGAGCTAATGTAAGGTTGTATCTTATCTAGCAGCACTGCCAGAAGAAAGTACTGAAAGACTTTACCAATGATGGTGTTGAAATAGCATAGGAGAATTCAGAGTTTCCTATAAATATGAATTAGCAATTAGATGTTTTTCTACCTCAGTTTGTACACTGGTTATAAGATTTGGAGGTCTGGCATGTAGTTGCCATTATGTTAGAGACATTTTAAAACAGAAACTTCAAACACCAACTTCCCCTGCTAAAACAGGACGTTGATTAGTCCTAACAGATACAAAACTATGTAGTAATGGTCAAAGTGGCAAATCTCCAAAGCTGCTGCTGGTCAGCAACTATCATCTGCTGCCCAGGTGATAGTTTTTAGCTCAACGAACTAAGCTTAATAATTGCTCCTATGACGTACCATTTCTAGTGTTTAAAAGGATTATATCAACATAGGTATGTAGAAAACATTTTTTAATAGATGAGTCCCTTTTCTTTGCCAGTCACATTCTTGAGCCATCACATTACTGTCCTATTTATATAACTGTAATAGCCCTGATAACCAGTCACCGAAGATCATCAGGAGCAGCTCTGAAAGGCAGAGAGTGCTCTTTACTGATAGACCTAGGTCTTACCTGACTGCAGCTCTCCGTGTGTATCTGAATTTGTTCATCCACAAACTAGCTTGCATTTGCGGTTCTGAAATACTGTGCCATTGTCACTACTGCTGTAGACACTGGAGTAAGGGAAATTACAGTCACTAATTTTACAAAAAATTTTGAGAGCCTTATATGAAAAAAAAAATACGTCTCTGTAACTGCATAATTTCAGTATTACTTCTTTGTTAATTGGCTTCTAACAATGAAGACAGGATTTAGATTTTTGATTACTAGTTCATCTGGTCTTAGACATTTCCTCACAAGACGCAAAATCGTCTACTTAAAACTTCATAGCTGAATACCAAGAAAAATTAATTGTTTTGTTATCACAAAGAGAGTTATACCCCCACTATGAGCAGCAGGTGCTAATGAACTGCTGAGAGATCCTGTTCTGTTTTCTTTTCCAAATGTTTTAAATAGTATAATAATGTTCAGTCAAAGTCTAGTGGAGATATTAAATAGCGTTCCTTTTTCATAGCCTGCCAACCACTTTTGCAACTCTGGATATTGATGGCGTAAGAAAAATAATCTTTGCGCTCCCAGGTAAGATGTTTTGTGGATTACTTTTGTTGCTGTGCGTAGATGACAGACATGAAACAGAATAGTGATGATTCACAGCACTGTGTCTGGTGTTGGCATCCCCAAGGAAAGTACCTGTAAGGTTTTCCCAGAAATTTCCAGAAGAGACAGACTTATAGGGATATACTAAGGAGTTCTTTCATGTTCCTATTGGAATTTGCTGATGTACAGGCCTAAAGATTTCTTCCATCCAACAATTTGCATGGGTTTTGTAAGTGGTGCTGTGCGGGGGTGGGTTTTTCCTACAGCTCCTTCCACCTTCACAGTAAATATTCTGTGTGTGTAAGTCAGTGCATCCACTGTGAAAGTATTTAAAATGGAGACAAAAACGAGGGAGTGCCAAGAGACATGTCACAGAAATTTTTTTTTTTATCATGACTGTACCGTGGAACCAAAAGAGGGCAGCATCACTTCATCTCCTGCATGCTGTGTTGCCTTGGGAGATCCCGGCATTCAAAATAAACATTTCCTTAGGGATCTGGCTAAAAATCTCTATCCTTCTAAATCAGGAGGAATTTATTTTATTCTTATTGCTCTGTCTTTGCATGGATTTCTGACTCCACAAGGAATCCTGTTCTTGATAAGCTGTTGGTTTTCAAAGGTATCTCTAGTGCTTTTTCTCTCTCTTGTTTTAGTTGCTGCAGTACATTTTCTTCCAGGGGAGAGATCAGTGGAGCATCTGTCTGATCATAGTATTTATTTTAGAACTGTCATCTAGGGAAGTCCAGATGTGTAAGACAAGTGGTGTTTGACAGACATTGGTCACAGACCCCTTTTGTGCGTCAACAAAAAATTTATAAATCAATAGAATTCTCCTCAGATTTTGTACTAAAGCATTTTGCCACTCTGTTGGGGAATTCAAAGTTATTTTTCCATAGGTCCTGGAAACCTTAATCATGAATCAAAAGGTCTGTCAGCTAGGACCTATGCCTGTGCACAATAAACCCTGCCCCGGCCCCAGACAAGTCTAGGCAACAGAGGAACAGAGGCAAAGGGAGAAACATGGGGCAGTTCTGGTCAGAGCAGGATTTCAGCTCACCAGCAGCCAGAGTGTAGCTTTCAACAGGTGTGCTGGCCACGTGCCACTCCAGTCGTGAATGAAACGTTCCCTGTACATAGCATGAAAAGCTCTTTAGAGATATAAAACTGTGAGCTCGCTTGCAGCATTTCACTGAGTAAATCAAGAGGGAGTCACCACCAACTGTTCTTTGTCCTACAGGCAACCCTGTGTCAGCTGTTGTCACCTGCAATCTCTTTGTTGTTCCCGCACTGAGGAAAATGCAGGGTATCCTGGATCCTCGGCCCACCATCATCAAAGCCAGGGTAAGAAGCTTGTCCTCTATTTAAAATTTTTCTCAAGATGTTGAAGCACATCTCTTTGGGCTCTGAAAGGCTGTCTTGTTTGGAGAATCTGAGCCCTAGCCTAATTCTGGCAAGTTTAAGGAAGTTCACGCAAAACAGAGGTACATCCTCAATCTCTATTAATTGTAATATTTAGCCACATAATTTCTAAGAGTTAGTTGGCCATCTCATGGAGCAAGATATACAGATGCAGAGGCAGCCGTTTGCCAATCAGGGAAGAAGCACACTTCCCTCTTTAAAAAAAACATTTGTTTTAGCCTGTGGCAAAAAAATGCAGAGTAATCTGTGAATACCTAAAGAGTTGGATAGTTCTGTATTAGCAATAGAAAATACAAACTTTAAAGCCTTTCTGTTCTTATTTGTATAAGTAACCCACATTACCCCCACCCTAAGCAATAGAAACCCCTTAAACTATTAATTTCACTCTTATAATAAATCATGGATATTGTAACTCTGTTTAATAGATATTCAAGGCATGTTATTGTAACGTATTATTCTTCTATTTTTGATTCAAATAAAGTACCAAGGAACACATTACCTTTTATAGTTTTCCTAGTGTTCTTGGCTATGCATTTTTCTTTTACTGTTTATCTCGTGTCTCTCTTTCAGACTTCCTCAGGCATCCAGATTTTTATCTCACAGCTAAAATATTCTAAAACAGAGAGCAGTTTGTAGTGACTATCACTTTTCCATTAATTTTCCAATGTGTTCCATTGAATTTCATAGTGAGCCATCCCCTGTATGTCTTTTCATTTCAAAGATTGGCCATTTCCCTTTTGTCAGAGCTAGCAGTATTTTGAATGCGAATAAAATTTTTATCTTTATGCAGTGTAATCCAGAGACTTGAAACTATAAAGCTGTTTTCCAGAGAAATACTATCTTTAAACTCCTAGTAAAGGAATAGCTTTGGAATACTCCACTTAATGCATGCAGACTCCCTCGTACACTTTGATATTATAACATCACAGTTCCCTTACATACGGCAGTCTCTACCCCCTACAGCTTTTGATCTTGCAGTAAACACCATCTGACCTCAAAATGCAAGTTTTTAAACAGCCTATTTTTAAGGAAAAAACACTGAGCAGATTGTTCCATTATCTTAGACAGTGCGATCTGAATGCATGACATTTTCATCCTTTCTTTGCTTCTTCTACAGTTATCATGTGATGTAAAATTGGACCCCCGCCCAGAATATCATCGGTGCATACTGACTTGGCATCACCAAGAACCACTACCTTGGGCACAGAGTACAGGTTAGTGCCCAGTCACACAGACTCGCACAGGTCCTTGCCTTCCTACAGTTATGTCTAAAGTACCAGGTGTGTGCATGTGTTTATTCATATAACCTTCCTTGTGCAGACCAATTCGCTGACATACTTGTGCACGTGCATACATGTACATTAGTATAAAATTGAGCCATTATATGACTTACCAACTGAAGCATTAAAACTTCCTTTATCTGAATAACCTGCCTTTACACACACACACTACACCTGTATGCTTGCACATGTGCACACATTCAATTTTTGTAAACATCCACCCATTCTTACTTGCACTCACAGGCACGTTTGCTTAGTTTTGCTCTTGTGCATGTAATAAACAAGCACAAGCTGGGGCCTAGGTAGGAACAATACAAATAAAAGTGTGATTCTAGCTGAACTGGAAAAGTAGAAGAGATAGCAGAGGCTATATATGTTCTCTTAAAGCAAACTAAGATTTTTAATAGTCATGTCTGCTGCCCAGAGATACTTCTGGATACTCAGCCACAGTTGAGGTAAATACTATATATGAATACTTTTTTAGCTGTATAATGCTAGAAGACCGACTCTGCAAGTTTCTCAAGAGATTCAGGTCCTTAAACCACTTCCTATCTTTTTTTCTACATCCAATTTGTTCAATACAAAGCATGATATACAAGTATCCACAGGGAAAACATTAGCTCAAATGCATCTTAGTGTTTTCTCAGTGAAGGTTCTTACCATTGAGTCCCAGAATCACACAGCCTCTGACATATTTCCAGGTGTAAGTCAAGATATTGCGTACATCTATAATGCTGTGCTTGGTTTAACTCTTGTTTTGTTGTGCACACTTCTTTCCTTACGCAAGCAGACTGTCTGGAATGATTTCTCTGTCAATCTGGAAGTTTGAAAACCAAGAAACTAAAGGGCATGACTTTTTATTCCATTATCATTTCTTGTCAGTGTTACCAATATGATACTGTTTATCTTCAGGACATGTTGTAAAGCTCAGTGTCCCAGAGAAACTCACTTTTGAGGTGGTGTATGTTGTGGATTTACACAGCCGGCCACCATAATAGGGTCTGACCCTAGGATCCTCCTGAAAAATGTAAAGTCCAAGTGAAGGTTTCCAATTCCTATTTTATTACTTCTCAGGTTATAGCTTGAGGTGGGTGCCTCTGGAGAGGGACCCCTACCCCAGATTTCGCCCTCCAGTTATACGTGTACCACCCAGCACCTGATCCCCAAGTCCTGTCACTTAATTCTTGTCAGTGGTCTCTTCATTTCTTGATTTCCTACCGGTTTTCTTTGTCACTGGGCTGGCCTTCTTTTGAAGTTACCCCATTCTCTTGGAATTATTTCCTTGGTCTTTATCTTCTTCGTTCTGTTTGCATCTACCAGATTCAGCTGGTTCCGTGTTAGCAGCATTAGTTTTATCAAAAAGTTTACTCTCCATCAGCTCTTGAGGCCTAAGGCTTCAACTACTTTAGCTACTAGTGAGATCCCAGCTGTATGAATAAGTTAGCAACTTGAACATCTTTGTAAGAACAGCTTGTTTCCTGCATGGTGTGTTGCAGCATTTGAAACTAACTGAAAACTTAACTGAAATTTTTCTCTCTCTCTCCTGTAGGGAATCAGATGAGCAGTCGTCTGATGAGTATGCGCAGTGCCAATGGACTGTTGATGCTACCTCCAAAGACAGAGCAGTATGTGGAGCTTCACAAGGGGGAGGTGGTGGATGTCATGGTCATTGGAAGGCTATGATGTCACCAGCAAGAGCGAAGCTTTGATGCATGTCCACATATCATTGACTGTATCCTGTAATATGCAACGGCACAGCTAGTTTTTCTGATTTGGATAAAAGTTGATCAGTATAGTCAACATCTTGAATTATATTTCAAATGGAATTTAAATAAATACCTTTTAAAAAAAACTTTAAAAGAAATCTTAACAAAGAAATTTATTCTGATTATATCAAAGCAACTTTTTCCTTTCCTTGCAATTGCTTTGTGTGTTCAATGCTAGTTCTAATAGCGGTAGCTTTTAGTAGACAGCAGTAGGTGCCTGCAGAACTTGTGTTTTTTCTCATCTTTAAGATACAACTACTTATGCTCTTAAAACAAGGCTGTCTGCTTATTTATACTAGCGTAGACAACACTTGGATTTCCCTTATTAGTATGCTTCATAACCGCTTCACAGAGAGCTTCTGCTTGTTCTTTATCTTGTATCTCGTGTTGATGTGCACAGTGCCAAAAGCAGAGTGGCTGCACTGGGAACCCAACGAAGCCCCGAGGTTTTCTCACCTTGCTGCGCGTTCAGGGATCTCTCTTGTCCCAGCAGCCACCCAGCTCAGTACTCTTGGGCAGTAACTGGATACCTTTTCTTTCAACAAACAAAAAAATTGCTTCCTTAAGTGCTGACAGCCTTTTTAACCAATACATTTAAAAATGTACAGAACTAAAAACTAAAAAAAATCAAAGACTGATCTTGTACAGATATTAGTGTTACCAGCATTCGTGTGGAAATTAAATGAGCAAAGAAATAAAACTAATGTTAAACAACTCTGTACCATAACATTTTCTGTAATGATATTGAAACTTAAATGAATAAAAAAAATCCTCAGTCATTATTTAAAATTTCACCTGTTTAGCCTTGTTATTTGAACCAAAACAACAGTGGTTTAAGAGGGTATTTGGGGTGGGGGAACAGGACAGGAAGGAATGGAAAATAGTATCTGGATTCTGGGACCTTCTCTCATGTACAGTATCACTAGTAAACTGAAAATCCAGAGTGAGTTCTCTCTTACTCATCTCCCAAGGGACAAAATGGAAGCAGTGTTTGGGGGCTGGAGAATACTTTTTTCCATCTAAATTGCATAGCAGTTCCAAACAGCCCTTGTGCTGCACTGTGTGGAATTTGATAGAGCATTCATACTTTTTTTTTTTTTCATTAAATTCTCTTTTTGATACTGCAACTATTCGGCCCTCACCAGATCATGTATTTTGGTGATTTCACATTTCATCTGGGATTAAGACCATAGCAGTGCCCTACAGCACCTTGCTTCTTGGAGTTCACGGGTAAAATGCTATCCCATCAACTCCATTCATGAAGCCAGAACATTCATCTATAGTATTTTTTGAAGACTTAGTCAGGGAGTATACAGAAAACTGCATTTAAGTCCTGACTGCCACAGTGGGCCAAAGCTATAGTTCCATAATAACCACAGAGGGCATCCCTGAGGCTGGTTTTAAAGCCAACCTTTGTTTGCTGGGCAACAGCCTGAACGCTCCCTGCAGAGGCCATTGCAAAGGTTGAAGGCAGGTGGGCGTACACCATGTTCAAAGGCACTCCAGGGGGTGATCTTTCAGTAAAAGAGTAACACCGCTTGCTAATTTTTTATTTCTTTGTTCTGGACTACATGTCCACATTTGTCATCTCTCTATGTAGCAGGAGGATGCTACAAAATTAATTAATGCCTGTATTTACTGTACCAATATTGTAAACCACAGAAGAAGGAAGAGAGGAGAGTTAACTCATCTCTGAGAAATAATGTAGAACACTGCCTTTTATAATTCAAAGGACTATTACATAGGTAGGAGTTATTACAGGCAGCACACATAATGAAAACTGGAAATATAAAGGACACCAGAACAACAGCCTCAGGGAAGATTGTTCATGCAATTGGAGATGCTAGACAAAGATAAAAGAGAGATGTGAGGAAACCTAGCCAGAAATACCTTAGTCTGGTTTACATTAAAACCATTCCTCAAAACAAATGTGGCAGAGAAGAGTTGGCACAATGCTGTGTATAATGCATGGCTCTGTTTAAACTGTATCATCTTGGCATCATAACACTTAACGAACATTGTAACGAATAAAGCATTTAGAGGTTAATCAAGATAATTTTTTTCCAAGTCACTGATAATATAAACTGCTTTAGCCACTCTCCTGTATTTTGTAATCCCCTCTGCCCAGTGTTCATAGTTTTATGCAAGAAAGTAAGCTTTGCAGTTTCTGAGAGAGACACTCACATCCCAGCCTTCATTAACACTGAAAGCTGTAGCAGTACGTTGGAGAGGTAACTCTGGGAGCAGTATAATAAATCATTATTACAACTATGCCTCAATTATCAAGCCTGAAGTCTGAACAATTTGCATGGGTTGTTGTAATAGAAAAGGATGTAAATGTGATATAAATAGATAAATTCAAATAACTTTTTTTTTGTTTTTAACATTCCCAACTCATGGTTTCAGGGAAGGTTGGAAGCTTCAGAAAAGAAATCAAGGACAAACGGATCTTCAAGTATGTGGTTACTTTGGTTCAAGGACCAAGACTTGCAAATGGAAACACTTTAAGGAATATTTTCACTATTTTTACTTCTCTAGATAAGGTTTTAGCACAATCAAAATAGAAACTTACTTAACTACAAGAAGCAATGGCAGCAATGACTGAACATAAGGTTAGTATTCCAACATTTGTTGTTTTCTTCTTGTTACAGCATTTTCTTCAGCGGCTATACATGGGAATGATGATACACAGTGGGTCTTCTGAGTCCCAGTCATCCAACTGGGATAATCCTACAGTGACCTATACAAATCATGGGGGAACTTTTGTATCCTGGCTGGCTGGTATCAAAACCCTGATTGTACACCTGGATGTGACACATCATTCAAAAATTGGCTGTATTCAATCAGATACATAGAAGAACAGACTGGCCTCTTCCAAGTACCAATTTCAAGACTTTAATTACAGAACTTAAAACATTAATTCTATCTTGATATTAAAATATGCTAAACATGAAATGTCTTTGATCTGTAAGTAGTTATTACAGATCTGTATGACTCCAGAGATTACTAGTTAACATGAAATCTTTAGCCTTTTTGATTCTTGAGCTGAAGGCTTTCACTTAAAACATATTACAGCATGGATACTGCTTAAGGACAATATGCAACAGCAACCCTGCAGGTCTGTCTTTGTCCTCCCCAGCTTGCCACTCTGCACCGTGTGCTAAAGGTTGTCTTCTTTGACACATCTCCATCCAGAAGACGTGCTGCTTGCCTCATGCCTGGTGAAGATGTCTTCAGGCCACAGGCAGTCTGCACATACCCTGCACGGACCACAGAAGTGCCCAGTATAGTGAGTGGATCCACCTTTTCCTTCCGCTTGCCTTCATTCCAAGTCTTATCAGTGTTGGGGATGGCGCGTGCCAGTCTTGTTGCCTTCGTACGGCAGCTGTGTTTGGGGCCTGCCTCAAGTCATGCTCAGGAAGGCTCTTCAGGCTGACACCTCTGCCAGCGCTTGCAGGGCAGCAACTATGTCTGAGAGTTGAGACTGCAGTGGGACATCTTATTTTGGAAAGCAGATGCTGGGCTAAGACGGCCCAGCGCTTCCTATGGCCATCTATTATGTTGTAACAACTCAGCTTCTCAAAAACAGCACCATCACCTGAACTATTTGTGAGGTTTTGTGTTAGATAAGAAAAATATTAATTAAGTCAAAACAAAAGAAACATATCAGAGCTTTGTTCTTACATGATAATAGTACTGAGGTGTTTCCAGGTACCTGTATTTGCAGTAGGCTAAGAAAAGACAGTCAAAGTAAGGGCCAGACAGCAAAAAGCCATAAATTAATCCTGAAGACACATCTCTCAGGAAGTACATAAAGATTCATCAGCAATCAAGTTCAAGAGTTGTTTCAAAGGCAGAGTCTCCTTCTTGGATATGCTTATTTGGTATATTTGGATATATAGCTTTGTATTTCCCCTGCAGAACTAGGTGGGAGAGTGTGAGAGCATCTAATGAGGAGTCAGAGCCCAATTCAGGCTATGTTATCAAGCAGTAGATTGGGCTGACAGGTAATGATCCTTACACTCTTCCTCTTACCTGACAGGAAACTAAGAATAAGAAGGAAAAGGGCAGATGTTGAAATGTTCAAGCACAAAATTTGCCAAAAGCTTTATTTTTCCTTAGCTGGAAAATTTAAACTAATTTTTAATATCAAAAAAATAAGGAAATTTGTCTGTCATTTATGCAGCCATCTCTTCCATAGAGACAGAGTAGCAGTATTTGGTCAGTACATTGCAAAGTGCCTTAACCTCACGATGAAGAACATGATCTCTAATAACTGTCACTCCTGAATACTTTGGCAACTCCTCCTTCCTAAAGCCAGCCAGTCTCATAAGGCAAAATACAGCATTTGCACCCCTTCAGGACGATACTCTTAGCAGCTGAACTTCTCTGTTTACTCAGAGTAAAAAAATCCACATTGTTGTTTCTTCCATGTTTTCTTTTGTGGATTTTTTTTTTTTTTGTGGGTTTTTTTTTTTCAGACTTGACCTTTGTTTTCTGGTAGGTATATCCCAGCCTCCAGCCAGAAAGGTGAGTCCCCATGCTGGATTTAAACTTATCATCGAAATGCAGATACTTCTTGGCTAATTCATGGGGCGGAAAAGCCTGTGGGTTTTGCAAATGTTACAGCCTCATGATGTGCTGCTAGTTGCATGTTTTATGAAAGGGCTTAGTGACTCATATTTAGCATTAGATTAAGACTTGCTCCATGCATTCGTGCTACATTGCACACAAGCTGACAAAGCTCTTGGAATCTAAAGCCTTCAAAAGGACAATGCACAGATGCTCAGCAGCTCTCAAGTTCTCAGAGTGGTCTGGCTGGGATTACTTGCTCCATCCCAGCACTGTACAGTGATATTCAGTATGCTCTGATCCTATGCAAGGACTTACGCATTTGCATGAACCCAATTTGGATTTAAAAATACAGGCAGACAACCTATTTTTTGCAGAGTTAATTCACAAGCAAAACCAAAACCTGATTGTATACCAGTAACTCCATAGATAATCTGAACATACCAGAGAAAGCAAATGCACTGGTATGATCTTGATAAAAGATTTAAAATTAGAAGTAACTTCAAGAAAAATAGAAGATGGAAGGTACATCCACGCAAAAACTACCTTAGAAACAACAGCAGGGTAAGATTTCAAAATCCTGATTTACTCTTTTTGCAGCTGTGGAACACTGCCAGTTTGAGAACCATATCCAGATGCATTTGCTTCCATTAAAAAAAATAAGTCATAGTGCAGTACTGACACATTACCAGCCACTGGCACACAAAAAAACTGTCTCACTGGACTGAAAGGAAACCATGCAAAGCGGTTTTTGTCAGTACCAGACCTTTTCCTCATGTGGATTTTACTGTGGGCCAAGATGGTCTGAAAGGATGCCATTACCAAACAGAAATCAGAAAGATCAGCAGGGCAAATGAGAGTTAGCACATCAAGGATGTAAAGCTTTTAAAAACAAACATAACACGTTATTACCTGTCTGACAAGACCATTTCCTAACTGGGATGTTCGTCTGTTGTGGCAAAGTAACCAGTGACTTCATCATTTTGAAACGTTGTGCTGTTTGGACCAGCAAGGGGGACCCAAGTCTGCAACAATGCAGCCCAGACACTGGGCCAGGAGAACCCAACCCGGATGTTTGCAGATGGTTTATAGATGGCTATCATCTGGATTGAGTCCTAATCCCTGTAGTCTGCCCTTTGTGATCATGTTCCATCTCCAAGGGTCCATAAATTGGACCATCCCTGTTGCTCCTCTTTGCACACTCTATACTTTATTA